AATTTGGAAGATTTTGATTTCTTGGACAGGAGCTTGAATAACAAGAAACCACCCTTATTTGGTTTATCTTATCTAATAAGCTATAAAACTTCAGTAATCTCAACACTATCATTCACACCATGACTTGCTTCTCCGTTGCTTTTGTTGTAAGAAGTCTCTGTTGTCTCCAGCATACGAACCACTGAGTTCATAGACGGTCTAACCTGAGGAGACTTGTTAGTACATAACAAAGCAATGGTTAATACTTTAAGGGCATCTTTCTTGTATTCATATTCTATAATGGGATCGATTAATTCAATCATCTTCTCTTTGTCCATCTCCTTGCTCTTGCTCCAAACCCACGTGACGATGTCTCTATCCTCACCGAACTCAACCTCCACTGGCTTCTTCCCCGTCACTAACTCCATTAGCACCACCCCAAAGCTGTAAACATCACTCTTCTCGTTCACTTTAGTTGTGTATGCATATTCTGTAAACCAGAAAGCAAATATTTGTAGGTGAGAGATTCAAAACTGTGGATAGTGAAGATAATCTCAAAACAAGCTTAAACTTTATTAAACACAAAAGGAAATAGCTCATTAAAGCTTTATTATGCAATGAAAGTAAAGAGAATATGAACTTTAGATTTGTCACCAAGAACCAAAGACTGTGATAATATCATAAATATATTAATGCATAAATAACATATATATATGACTCTTAACCCGGAGAAAAACACAAATAATGCCATAATTGTGTGACTTAAATTTGTAATACACTAATGCCAAAAGTAGCCACAACTTCTATTAATGGATTAACATGTAAATTGACATCCAAAACTCAGACTGTTCAAGTTTATTCCCATCAGGAATCAAACTCAATACAGACGAAGTTAGCCGTTACCACTAGGTTACCAGGTTTGATGTATGTAACTTGAGAAGCAAGAAACTTGACCTAATAGTTGGACTTACCGGGGGCAATGTAGCCGAGAGTTCCTTCAACGATATAATCAGAGACATCTCGCTGATCCGAACCAGGCTGAACAATTTTAGCCAAGCCAAAATCAGCAATCCTCGGTCTCCACTCCTCATCAAGCAATATATTACTAGACTTCACGTCACGATGTATCACAGGCCGATCTAATCCATGGTGCAAATACTCCAACCCTTTAGCAGCTCCTAAACCTATCGCTTGTCTCACACGCCATCCAATCTCTTGCTCGCCACGACGCTCGTGCAACTGCTCCCACAAGCTTCCATTGGGCATAAACTCATAGACAAGTAACTTACTGTCTTCACTCGTTATGCTACATATCAACTTTACAACGTTTATGTGTTTTACATTGCTTAACGTTGCAACTTCTGCCTCAAATTCTCGGTTACACAACATTCCCGTTGAGCTTCTGAAACTTTCTTTGCAAGTATCTCTTCTCAAGATGTGCTTAACAGCTAGGGTTTCACCGCTTCTTAGGGTTACTTTGTAGACATTTCCGTGACCGCCTCTGCCTATGAGATTCTCTGGCTTGATCTCATTGATGACTTCCATTTCATTCAAGTTCAGTAACCGGAAAGAGCTTACTAGCCAGTTGTTCTTCTTCTCAGCCATGCCATTTGACCTATCTTTCTTTACCTTGTGTATCACGTAACAGAATAAGAGAAACAGAACAAGTACTGCAGCAATGATAGAACATATCTCCAGTTTAGACAAGTGTTTTCTTGTCCCATTGTAACCTTGAGGTCTTACACATGGCTTAAGATATGTAATCTGTGAGCTGCATAGCCCTGAGTTTCCTACAAAGCTTCCACTTTTCAGTGACTCAGGAACAGAACCGGATAACTCATTGTTGGATAAGTCAAGTAAGCTTAGCTTAAGAGACGATAAACTAACCGGAATCAATCCGGTTAGTCTGTTTCTTGACAGATTAAGAGAATTCAAGAACCTTAAAGATCCTAAGCTTTCAGGGATTCTCCCAGAGAGTGAGTTTCCAGCTAGGTTTAGAGCAACAAGAGAAGCACACAAGCCTAGTGACTCTGGTATATCACCAGATAGACTATTCTTGTCAAGATAGAGACTTGTAAGCTCCTTAAGCTTTCCCAAAGAGTCAGGAACTTTCCCTGAAAACATGTTCATGCGAATATTCACCGACACTAGCGAGCTAGCTCCTGAGATCTGAAACGGTATAGAACCAGAAAACCTGTTGCTGCTCAAGTCTAAAGAGCCAAGAGACTTGGCATTACCAATATCACCAGTGAAAGGTCCTTCGAAACGGTTTGAAGCAAGATCAAGAAACTGTAGATTAGGCAAACCCCAAATCCCATAAGGAACCAAACCAGAGAGATAGTTCTTGCTTACACGGATACGAATCAGAGTCTTGCAGTTAGCATAGCTCTCAGGGAACTGTCCTGTGAACCTGTTCTGTAACATCAGAAGGTGCGTCATTGCGCCTTTCTTACACATATCAGGAGGTATCTGACCTTCCAAGAAGTTCTCAGACACGTCTATGTGTTTAAGACTTGTCCAAGATCCGAGTTTCTCCGGTAGCTTTCCTGAGAGATTGTTTTTGTAAAGAGACAAAGCAGCTAAACTCTTGAAATCTCCAAACTCTCTTGGGATCACACCGGTGAATCGGTTTTCGAACAATCCGAGAGAAACAAGGTTCTTTAACGACCTAAGCTCTGACAAATCACCTTCTAGCGAGTTGTTAGATGCATCAAAGTATCTCAAATTCGTCAAATTCCCAAACCCTAATGGTAACTTGCCACTCAAGAAATTACTGTAAACCTCAAACTGCTTTAGGTTTCTAAGCTGAACTATCCCCTTTGGAATCTCACCGGGGATTTTGTTATCAGAGAGCTCAAGGTTTTGTAAGAGAACAAGGTTCTTGATCCTCTCTGGAATCTTACCGGTGATGCTGATGTTGCTCATGTAAACCCAATTCAAAGCTCTGAGATTCAGAATCTCTCTCGGAAATGGATGAGGATCGAACTGATTATCTCCAACGCTTAAGAAACTCAACCTCTTCAATGGTTTTAGAGACTTCCATGGGAATCTCCCAGAGATTCCTGAGGCGTTTAAGCTTAAAAACTCTAGTAACTTCAAAGAATCAATCGCCGGAAACTCGCCTGAGAAGTTGTTGATTCCTAGGTCTAAGTAAATAAGACGTTTACACCTCCTGAGATTCTTGTGAATCTTGCCACGCAAGGAGTTGTTTCCAAGAGCAAGCTTCTCAAGAAACTTCAAATCGCAGATTGAATGGAAAGGAAGATCGGAAGTATTGTTGTTATTATATCCGTTGGTTAGGCTCTGGCTTTCGAGGTTGATCTCGACGACGTTTCCGCCGGAGTTACAGGTTATTCCGGAGAATTCACAAGGCGGTTTCCGGTGAGACCAGGTGGCGAAGAGGGAGTTTGGTTCTGTTTCTTGAAATGTGGATTTTAGTTTGAGGAGATTGTTGAGTTCTCTTTTATGGTTGGAGCTCGATGAGACGAGAGTAAGTAGAAGGAGAAGGTGAACGATAAATAGTTGTCGGAACATTAGTTGTTCTTGTCGGATGGACAAAAGGCGGTGACTGGTATGAGGTTTGTACGTTGTAACTCGTGTGTTTAAGAATGTTGAAAACATTTGAAATGGAAAGTTATATATGTGGAAGGTGCTTTATGTCTAAAGCTTTTCCTCTTTGTTTTTTCAACTCTTGATTTTTATTTTGAGTTTAAATAATTATTCATTTACTGAAATCAGAAATTTAAATCTACTTAGGTATAAGAGGTCGTTTAGCACCTATGTAATTACATAGGCAAAGAAAAATAAAAACGGAAAATCGATATTTTTGTTCATGTGCATTTAGTTTTATTAAATTGGTGAGTTTTTTTTTTTGAAACTCATTAAATTGGTTAGTTAAACGACCTAAAAATTGATATGTGTTGTTCTATTAGTAGTTTAGTAATGTTTATCAAAAATTTGTCACTATACATTAATCATAACTCAATGTAAATATACTTTTTTCCTACGCTCCAGTTTATTTTATAGAGCCAGAATGAGTTTCTAATTAATAATTAAATTTTAACTTGTAATCATATTCTAAAATAAGAAGATTTCAAAATTTGCAGTCGTTATTAAGAGATACGTGTACAAACATTCAAACCCCAAAAATAGCAAAATTCAATGAATACGAAGAACGTTGACTTGTTATCTTAATGCGGTCTTCTTTTTAATTTTGGTAAAAATACCGTATTAAGTACACGTATTAACTCCTGCCTATTTTTTTAATATACGTATTTTTATATATGTTAATACTGTCTTCTTCCGTTTCGATCCAAATTTAAACTATTCCAACCCTATTAACTAGTAACTCCTAAGCTGCATCACCACCATCACGTAATCAACTTCTAGTGAACAATGTATCTAGTCAAAAGACTCAAAACCAACATCTTATTTCTCTTTCAGTCATTCGTTCCTATAACTTATTTTCTTTCATCTTTAGGCTAAGATTTGAAGCGTGTTACAAACAGAAAAATATTTCTTTTTAAAAACTAAGATTTGAAGCAAGAAGACCCAAAACTACCCCCGAAAAAGTTGGGCTAGACCCATTGGTTTAGGATGGATGAGGTCGGTACTTATGCATCAAGCTATTCACACCAGAGGGTTAGTGATATGTCGGCTGAGGATGCTTCAGATATGTGGACCGACGAGAAATAGTAAAGTACTACAACTACAATAGCAACACGTGAAACGGTCCAGACGGTGGCACGTGACTATATGACACACAAGTAGTTTGAAAAAGAATAAAACACTGCGATTCGGATGTGCTAAAGTGGTGTGTAGCAGGGGTGCTACTCTTGTTACATCACATGAAACTGTGATCCTCTCCCGGCGGAGAAATTTCATATTACTAATATTTTTTGAAAGATATTAGAAAATTTATGGTAATTGAAAAGAATAATGAGATATAAAGAAGTTGTTTCTGTCATTCATTAGCTGTACATGAAGATATAAAGTTGGTCTAAGTCCTAACGCTACCTTACAAAAAAAAAAACAGAAAATTCAAAAACATTTAAGAAAAAAAAAATTGCGAGTGGAAGACAACTCATGGAATTAGTAAAACGACAAAGCAATACACGTCAAACGACACCAAGCTGGCTTTGCTGTCTCAGCTCTTTCCTTAGCTTCTGAGAGAAGAGCCTACAAGCATCCAAACTCAGATCCACCGCCGCAGCCAACGCCACGTGCGCTGCTGCATCCTCCGTGCACGTCACGTGCGTCACACCAACTTCCACCTCAGGTCTACTCCGTTTCTCCACTCCTTCCACTGACGCCGACATCACAAACCCTCCTCTGCCCTGCGCCGGATGCTGCGGCAGCAAATATCCAAAATCCGACCCGGATCCAGATCCCGGCCTCGACGCTGGCCTCGACCCGGCGCTCGATCCGGATCCGAGATCCCAGCTTCCCTGAGGACTCGTCACCGGCGTAGAAGCCGCCGTGGTATTCCCACCGGTAACATCGATAACAAAACTCCCGCCATTTTTTAAACTGATCGACGAAGACGCGGAAACGGCGGTTGCGATTCCGTCTTGAAAAAGCTCGAAACGGTAACCTAACGCGTCGGATGAGTAACCTGATTCGCGCCACGCCTCTAACCTCCCCCACGGCTTCCACGTGCAACCGTCTGGTCTTAGAATTAGCCACGCACCGGGACTAGACCGGTTCACTCGATTTGAACCGGGAGACGGTACGAAAGGTGTTACCATAGAAGCCATCGCTACTGGCGAACCGGAGAGATCGTGAACCGTAACTGACCAGCCTTTCCTCTCTTTAGACGGTTGCTCTCTCTCCGATCTCATCGAGGAGCTGCATAACTGACTCCGATCAGCTGAGTTAGAGTTCCTCGCGGCGAATTTGCAAGTGAAAACCGCTTGTTTCGTGTTTCCTTGGACTTGGAAAACCTGAGGACTACACTCCGGCTCGCCGTCGAACTGAAACACGAATCTCGGATCCGGTTCGACGCGTACGGTCACGTGGAGCTCCGGATCGGATCTAGACTTCTTAGATCCCTTCAAGGTGACAAATCCGTTGTGAGCTAGACACGTCTTCGTCTCCGCGGATTTCAAATCTAGCGAAACCTCGAATCTACCGAGCAGCTTCTCCCCCGGCGACGCGAGTCCACACGACGCGCCGGTGACGTTGTCGCGTGAGTAAGTCTCGATTGAGAGGACGCTCCACTTCGGCTTATTGAGTGACGCCTCGATCTGAGCTTTGCTGAGACTGAAGCAAGCGGCGACGGTGGAGATGTTGCCGGAGGAGCGAGTCTCGGGTTCTGATTCGGTTCGGAACGTGACCGGTACGGAAGCGATGTGGCGAGGGAAGTTCTTGAGTTTGATTTTGCAGTAGCAGTTAGGAGTCGAAGGGTTGATTCCAGAAACAGACGGTTCGGATGAAGAGGAAGACGTCGCCGGGAATCTAACGGTTAAGTTTCCGACTATGATCCGTACGAAAGAGCACGGATCCATTTGATTTTTTGAGATTGGATTCTCAAAGATTTGATCGAATTTGAGATTGGTTAGAGAGATGAAGCTAAGGTTTGAATGAGTGAAGGAGGAAAAGAGAAGAAGGTATAAAAACGGAGAAAGAGAAACAGCCTGGCGAATAGCTGGGGAATGTATTATTTAATTTTAAGTAATTAATTTAGAGTCAAATAAATAAATCTTTTGTTTACAAAAATACAGATCCTGTGGGGTCCAAGTAAAACAGTGTACTTACCTCTCACCTATCATATTCCAGATAGGCAGTGTTTTTTTTTTACTTTTCAAAAAAAAAAAAAAAAAGTTTTCCTTTCATTTTTTTCAAATTTTTTATTTATTTGTTTTATGTTTTGTGGAAATTTATTAGCTGTTGTGTGCTTGATGCAATCGCTATATAATCAGTGCAATCAATAGATTATCTGATTTTGATCGAAACAAACAGATACTTAAAAACCGTTATATCAATTGAAATGGAATGAAATATTTGATTATCTAACAATTATAGTCGGTAGATATGGGACAAGGATCACATATATTTGTTGATTTGATATGATTTTAAACCGTTATGGAGTTTTTGAATTAATAGAGAAAAATGATAATTGTGGAACACAGCGTGGACGCAAGAGGCTAATCGCTGCCATTGGTTACCAGGTGGGGTCTAAGATAAGCTTACAGTGGACCCTCCCTTACGCAATCTTTATTTGTCTCTCTGTTCACCACTTCGAGATGAGCTGGCCGCAAAGTGGAGCACGTATGTATTTAGTTGGCATCTTCTTCAGTGGCTAATATACAATCTCTATATTATTTTCTACTAAATAATTAAGTGAAGGAAATTCAGAAAAGAGTTAAAATGCTTTCCTACCATTGTCGTTTCCTTCATTATCTTTATGTCGTTTTGCTATGTCTTCATATATATTCATGGGGGGTTTTATCAACTACTGAGATATAATTATTAGAAAATAAGTAGAAGTTTGACAGATATAAAAAAAGTGGGTACTACAGAGAGGACCGTGAGGAGACTGTCAAGCCGCAGCTGTATGCCCATAATATATGGTCATATAATTTTCTTTATTAAGATCAGAACGTACCTTATTATCGAGATCATCAGATTCATATTATACAGATATTAATATATTATTACTCCAACTTCTTATGTCTGGATGCATCAATGACACATGAGTAGAGGTTAAATCACTAGAATCCTGTGAAGATAATTATATTCTTATAAGTTTCCTTGTTTCGATACATTCCTTTTTATAAAACCTATGCCCAAGCTGATACATTTACTCTAGACAAAGGAAGTTAGTGTTTCTATTAGTAAAGCACCACTGCTATATACATAAGCTTATCAATAACAAAATTTTCAATACCAACATAGTATTCATACAAAAAGATATCATTTATAACTATGTTCAACCTTCACAAAACCTTAATTGATTTAAATGATGTATGTACCTAAATAGGTTTCCTTGTGTATTTATACCATCATGTTTAATCAAATTGGGATAGTAGCATAACATAATCCTATTTAACTTTGTTCATAAATAACATAATACTATTTAACTTTGTTCGTATATTGTTTAAATTATACATATTACGTATTCGAGATTGGAAGAAAAGAACAACGGGGGAGAGGGTTTAGTATCGCCGAGGCTCTACAATTGAATTAGAGCATCTATATTTATGAACCGGGTATAGGGTTCACAAAAGTAATTTTTTAATATATTTTTTTTTACTTTTTTCTATTTTTTTTAAAAAAAAAAAAATTAACGGGTCAATCGTGGGCCGCCACATGGTGTGGGGCCCACGCAAAAGGCAGTGAACCGGTTCACTCCACAGAACCTTTGTGACTCGAGTTCACCAACTTTTCATTATTTTATTTTTTTTTTTCTCGAAAAATGTGTAAACTCTATCCACAATACTTTGATGTGGGTGCTCTTATAGATTACTAAGACATCTGAATTCTGAAACAGAAAAATAACAATAAGAGAAAGAACAAAAAATGTGTTTACTAGGCTCGGCAAAACAAACCATATGAAGAGAAATAGTGTCCAAAGTAACATCTCAAATGTATAAAATAACAACAAAACAAAAGATAAATAGAAAACAAAAAAACATTGTGTTTTATGGCAAAAAATAAAAGATTAATAGTAATCATGTCAAAACTGAGGAGGATGATCAGGTTGATGGTCACATTCGGAAGAAGGTTCCTGCTTAAGACGATATTGGTTATGGCTTTCATTGTTTTCTGGAGCAAACCTTTCAATAACATTATTCCCAGATGGTATTGTAGAAGGATGAGGAATGACCATGTTTTGATGATTGCACGAGAACGTGTTCAAACCCACCATTCTTCGATGATTAAATAGGTCCAAATCACTACTGGTATTACCATCATAATCAAAAATCCCAAGAGCAGCATTACTAGAACTTCCAAAATAGAAGTTATGACCAGTTGCTTGAAAATATTTGAAGGCTTCAGCTGTCATTGTCTTTTTAAAATTTTCCAAACCACATTTGAATTCAATGAGCTGGCGTAAGTTGAATCCTTCTATAGGTTCTTCCCACCAATGCTCGGATCTCTTATCATCTTTTCTCTTTTGTTTTAAATCTTCATTTCTCATTTTCTCAGTTTCTAATTGTTTTGTCACCTGTTTTTGTAATATTTTGTACTTAGTCTATATAAAAAAAACATAAACATTTCCTGTATAATTAAACATATCATATATTAAGAGTTTTACAATAAAACAAATTAAACAATATACACATACCTATATATTTTCATTTAACTTTTCCATAGTTTAGAAGCACTTGATTATATTTAAACTATTTGAAATTATTATGAGTCTATAAAATGAATTTATTTAAAGAGGGTCTAAAATCCAAACAACACAAAAAATGTTACAAAGGATAGACCATGGACATTATTCCAATAAACAGATATTTTCTTTTGTTGATAGATTATTATTAAGTAAATATAGATTATTATTGTTATTATATGCACAAAAATAGATTATTATTTAAGTAACAATATTATGCAAGTTATATAATAGTTTAACAAAAAAAAACTTGAGTATAAGCCAACAAATAAATTCAGCTCAATATATAGCTTAACATAATAAAGCTTACAACTAAAAATCTGAAGATGTAAAATTTACCTGAGTGAGATGATTGTTGAGATCTTGTACAACTGAATTTCGATGGACTGCATTAAGTTGCAAATGGTTGTTTTGGTGAGGATGCGGTGGATTAATCTTTAAAAAACGATCAATTAAAACGTCAACATTTGGATGACCAAAAGAAAAAACTTTCTGGCCAGGTGAAAATGCAATAACAACAATCTCGGCACCACAAAGCGTGCAAAGCTCACTAGCTTTTTTGAAAAGTCCAGTTCTTCGTTTTGAAAAAGTAACCTGGAGATTATTCGTTTTTCATTTTCGTCATCTCTATTTTTTGGCGACCTTTGTTTATTCTCACCATTTTTACAATTTTTTTTACATATGAGTTGGTATTAACAAAGAGAACATCATCGCATATTTATAGTTAGACATATAATACCAACCGTTACCATTTCGAGTGGTTCTAGATAAACTCAGTTTTGTTTATTATATTTTATATTAAAATTATTTTTACCATTTTAGAATCACAATGAAATCTTTATATGCTATCAAAATTAGTATGAAATTCATGATTTTTAATATAGTGCTGTTATTTCATATGTTACATTGCATAAAATATGTGAGATGTATGCACTGCATTTTAAAAAAAAAGATATATATCATACCTCTTTGGGAAATGATTTTATATGTTTTGCAAAAAAAAAATTTAGATTAAAGTTTACTAATGCTGATGATATATAATATTTTAGTTTAAGTGACTTTATTAATGCTACATTTAGGGATTTTGGGAAAATCTCATTCGGCAAATTCTTTTATATGGTTTTACAGACCAACTTTAGGATTTAAACATGCGTTACAATGACTCAAAAAATGTGACATGTAAGACCACTTGATTATAACTCCATCTAGATCTAACATTGTAGCCACTCTGTTGCAGTAAAGACCGTTGAAAGACTTAATTGCCAACTCACCTTAATCTGTTCTGTGTCATGTTATGTGGAGGGAAGTGTTTGAGATGATGAGTGATCAAACAAATAAGTCAAAATAATTCTATCCAGAGAACAGAGGTTTAGACTTGACACTTGGATCTTGGTATCATGAATATGGTTATACATTATGCTCTAAAATAATGTCTATAAAAAAAATATGTTTGGCTTCTGTTACTCGAATAATCAACTAAGGTGCTCTTCTAAATTTTTATGCTAAAGAGTTTACTAGTTAAACACAACTTATTTTCACATATGATTGGTGAAGAAGTTAATCAGAAAATCATTTCGAACAAAGAGGTGTATGGGGAGCTTCTGCAAAGATCACTATAGCCAAACAAGTTGCACTTTGCAGTAAACTTGTTTCTTTAAGACTTTGGGACCTAACCAAATATCTGCTCGTCCCTCTTTCTCCCCCCCCCCAGAAATCCATGTGGGATTAGTGTTTAAATATTCTCCTGCAATATTCAGAATTGGCAAATCTCTTATACATTAAAGTCTACCCCTCTCATTTTCATTAACCCCTCCCCCCCCCCCAAGAAATCCATGTGGTACATATTCTCCTGCAAAATTTGAAATTGGCAAATCTTTTACACATTACAGTCTTCCCCTCTCATTTTATAACTTCATTAACCCCCCCCCCCCCCCCCCCCGTGCAAAAGTTGGTTAACAAAGTATGTGCGATACTTCAAAATCCAATTGACATTGGTAGATTAGACCGAAAATTCTGGTTCTCCAATCAAGGTTTTGCCCACCGACATAAAATCAGTCCAATTTAGACATTTTTTCAAAAAAAATATATGTTTAACCATTTACGTTTTAAAATAAATTAAATATATCATGTGAGATTATTGTTTAAGTCTTTTAAGGTTTATAGACTTCTCCCGCAGTTTTGAATTCATAATTTTCCTTACATTACGGTGTATCCTTCATATTTCTCAAAACTTCATTGAAACCCACAAGATACAAACTATAAAATATATGTGAGACTTCATAATTCCAATTTACATTGTTGGATTAGACTGGAAATTCCTCTTCTCCAATCAAGTCTTGTCCAACCGACATAACATCAATCCAATTTAGACATTGTTATCAAACCATTTTTACATTTTAGAGGTGACAAACTTAAAAAAAAATATATATATGTTTATATAGTCAAAAACATTTACATTTTAACGTTTTTAAATCAGACAGAATCTTATTGAGAATGTTTAAGCTTATGAGTTCATTATGTACAAGTTATGCCCATTAAGGCCATTTTATATAAAAGCATGATTGTCAACATATATGTGGATAACCCACTATCTTTTATGTATATAGAAAATATAAATAGAGAAAAAGTTGAAAGACTTTTTTTTGTGAATCCTTGTGGTAGCATTTGTTTTAACTCTGATTTAGGGGTATCTCATCTTCAAGTTATTGGGTACATCTAATCTAGCTGTCAACCCATAACCATAATATTAAGGATAGTTGGAGTCTAAATAGTAAAACATCAACTATCTCGGACTATATGGCGATAGCAGAGAGGCTCACTTATAGACATCTGAGCATTGATATGAGTTATCCTAGATGTGGTAGTCCAGTGGAGTCGATTAATCATCTTCTTTTTGAATGTCCCTCGGCCCTGCAGATTTGGGTTTTATCGGACTATTTGTCCCTTCCGGGTTACTTCTCGAGTACATCTATTTACCAAAACATGAACTTTCCATTTTGGAAAAGAAAAGAGAAAGCTCCTATGAGAATACAATTCGATACCTTCCCATAGGTCTGTTGGTACGTTTGGAAAGCGAGAAACGACAAACTCTTTAATGGAAAGTTGTATCTCTGATTAACACCTTCCAACATGCGCCTCTTGAGGCAGAATGTTGGAGGAAGGCTAATGAAAAGGAGGAAGCAAACGAGGATCACGACGACCTTCCTACTACAGAGATTGAGACAGTACCCCCCTTGGATATCCCGAACCCCTACCTGTCAAATTGATGCGTCATGGATCGATAATGGCAGCAGCAGGAGACTCTCAGCTTTGCATGCTGAGATTGAAGGTTTACTTTGGGCAACCTCATGTATGAGAGACATGAGAATAACTTCGATACGGTTTGAGATGGACTGCTCGGACCCAGTAGACATGATTACAAACCCGGTGGATTGGTCGTGTTTCGCGACAGAGATCAAGATTTTTCGGAGATTGCAGGAGGATTTCGAAGATGTGAGTTTGTCTCATATCCTTAGGAGTAGAAATGGTCGAGCAAACGCATTAGCAAAAGAAGCAAAAACCATAAGCTATACTTTTTCCCATATAGATCAAACCCGGTCAAATGGAGGTGCTCCTCAGAGTATCGACTCGTCTGACCACCACTTGATATAGTTTATATGGACAGCTGACAAAAAACAAAGATCTTATCACTTTGTGAAATGAAGTATCAACGTATATGTGATGAAATCGATAATAAGCTTTTTGAATCTTTGAAGAATGAGGTTTAGAGAAGAAAAAGTTCATATTTTGAACCTCATCGTAAAAAATGGCTTAGAGTTAGCAAATCTTTGCCTAACATTCCAAAACGTGTTAGATATATGAAAGCATTGCTACAAAGGAAAAATGGTGGAGTTACCATGTGTAGAGAGAGCATGAATTAAAAGTGAAGTTAGATTGTCACTTAATGTACATACTCTACTAAATGCTTGTTAAAGTTATAAAATTTGGAGACACATTTGCTAGCATGCATGAAGTTGTATGATCCAACGTTTAGGAACACATTCTCTTGGCGGTTCGGTTTTGCTGAATATGAAAATAAAACTTACAAAATCCAGTTATAAATATATTTCTTTAACAATTTCTTGTTAAAATGTAGTTAACATTGCAGACAATTTTAAATTTTAGAAGAAAAAAACTAGTTCAGAAATAAAGTGTTCAAAATCAGAAGATTAAAATGTTTGATGAAACAATAATATATAGTATTTTTATAATGTTTGACATCATTTTATAATTTGTTTGATAAAAATATATAACAATTGGTTATATTTTGATTATGGGCAGGTCTTGGTAGTACAAGTTTGACGAGTGTATTATTATGTCTATGGATTTTCGTATTTTAGTTATGTTGGTGTGGACTTCACATTTTAGTAGAAACAAGTATTATGTTTATGAACTTTTTGTAATTTAGTTGATACATTTGAGATTGGAGATGGGAGAAGTGCTATGACAAAAATGTTAAGTTCAGCTTTTTAAATGTAAACATGCTTTAAACGAGCTTAACTTAAATATGCCTTTACCGGTCATTTATTAAACGGGCCGGACATAAACCTATTCACAACCTGTTAAACCCAAACACGAATAAAGAAACATAACTATAAGCATTATCAAAATTTAGCAAAGATTTGAAGATAACAAAGAAGAAAATCAAATAATTTCCAACTTGCTCTGCTTTATTGCGAAAATAGTGAGACTAAAAGGTTTCAAGATTAAGATCCTCTAGAACAATAAATAAGAAAATAAAACTAAAAACAAAATCTCCTAAGTTTTGGCAAGAGACATTATTCCCCCACTATGTTTTGGTAAGACTCATTCAAGCAAACGACTCTGCTTATACCATCCAATGGCACCGAAATAGAGGACTAAACTTCCTACCGTACCTCCAATCACTGTCCACATGAATCTTCCCGGACCAGCTACATCATCATTGAACAGCTCTATGTTTATGTTCATCCCGAACACTCCCGCAACAGCAATAAAGAGACTCATCACCAGTGTAGCTGTTGTTAGCACCACACCCATCTGCAGAAGATTATTCTGCTTGTCATCTAGCATTATGTTGATGTAGTCCTCCGTGTCATCCACGTATTCCCTTAGCTTCATCATAAAAAAGAAACATCACTACCTGACAAGAGTGATATTTACTACTAAAGCAACTGTGTATATCATATCACTTACTGTTGATAGTTTGTTCAGTGTACCATCAATCTGCACGAAATAAGCTTCCAAAAGCATTTCAAGCTCTTGCACATTGAGTTTGTTGGTCATACAACTCTGGGATGAGGTCGTGTGAGACCCACGGCTGTTTCTGCTAAGTGCGCTATGAGCTCTCATAAGAAGGTCGTGGCCATCATTTGCTCTGGGACAGCTTTCAGACGAAAATTCGGGATGAGACCTGGCAGGTCATGGTAAAAAAAAAAAAAGAAACATGTTAAGCATAAATCAGAGCAATCAAACGTATAGTATGTTTTAAAAAGTCTGGTAACATGCCTGCCATCCTCAGGAAGATCAACCACGACGGTATCACTTGAAGAAGCACAGGACGAAGTCTCAAGCTTCTGAGCTAACTTATCTGTAAGATACATCTCAGCCATATCTTCATCATCGTCTAGGAGATGTTCCAGTTCGTCCCTAACCTACGCAAGTGAAGACAAAAAGGAGTGGCCTCTTAGAATCACAGCTTTAGAGGAAACAAGATTTGTCTTAATCCAAAAAAAAGATCACAGGAGTTATCATAACACCTTCTGAACACGCCCAGTTATTGCAACAAGCCTACTTTTAAGCTGACGAACCCGATCCAAGTTGAGGGTACTGATCTTGGTAGTAAGCTTGTCCATAGTTGGATGAGCCTCCAACTCCAATCTTACAGCCTACATCAGATAAGAACAAATTGATACAAATACCACACAATAATATAAACAAAATACACAGCATTGAAGACAAGTATATTACCTCACTCTCCAAACTAGTGATTGCAGCTTCAAGACATGCTTCAAGAGCAATAAACTCAAAAGGAAGAACCTTAGATCCATCTTGATTCCCAAGACTTTGCTTCGCATCCTTCTTAGCTTCCTCCCCTTGATACCCTGATGACGTTCCAGCTTCTCCTTGTCCGGCGGCTCCCTCATTGTTCTCTCCCTCCTTCACACAACACTACAAAGAAAAGCCAGACTAGAGAGTGAATAATAGCTAAAAAATAGACAATCAACATATCATCTTCATATGGCATCTCTCAATACAACTATGACAACACACTCCGCGAAAGCTCACAGCGCTGCAGCGCATAGACCCAATCTCACAGCACTTCAGCGCATAGACCAAATCTCACAGCACTGCAGCGCATAGACCCAATAACCTACTGGTGGATGAGGAGGTATTTCCTCCCACAGTGAAGAGGTTAAGGTCCGTGCGCTACAGCACTGTGAGCCTAGGTCCGCGGGACAGGTTGTTAGTGATCATATACCAAACAATACAATTAGCCCTACGTTTCTAAAATCAAACTGCAAACCCTAATTTCTAACAACAACTACCTGAGGTTTAGTAGCGTGACGGTGACAGCTAATCCTCCTCTGCAACTCCTCGATAAACGGAGCAACGGAAGGATCCTTCGAATTAAGCAACAAAACCTCTTGAGCCGTGATGATCGCCTTGATATGCTCCAGATTGATCACGATCGCTCTCTCACGTCCCAGTACAGTAGACGGATACGACAGCAGCGGATCTAGAATCCGGAGATCACGCGCAGGTATTCCCGTTCGACGCATGATGGTGTGTTTTCCTGCCTCCGTCGCTTGCTCCTTCCCCGACGAGCAAAGCACCAGCCACGTCCTTAGGCCCATGCCTTTCTTCCGGCTACCGGCGGGGAACGTCGGCGTCGGGTGGGCAGTGTTGGAGTCGAAATCTTCGGGTCTAGGGCCTCTCATGGCTGCGTAAGGATGTTGTGATCAGGTAGGTTGAGCAGTGGAAGTTACGAGTATACAGAAAGTTAGTATTTATAGAGCCAAACTGGTTTAAATCGGAAAATTAAACCGGGTTTGGAGTTTCACACAAATTAAACCGGGTTTAGCGTTCTCCACTTTGAGTTGGGTTTTCGAATAGCAGTTCAGATACATACGGAAGATTCATTCTGGATGCGTATTTATTTCAAGTTCGATTACTAATATCTCGAATTCGGTTAACATTATCATGGATTTAGATATTTTAATTATTATACTCGAAATTAAAATTTTGAATTTTTTATTTTACTTTTCAATATTATGGATAGTTATTTAAATCTTACAGATTTAAACTTTTAACTTTCGATTTTTGATTTTTTTTTAGGTATATATTTTTGTTTAGATAGGGTTTGGATAATTCCTACGTAACTAGGATGAGATCCATGTATTATCCAAGTGAGATCATGTAAACAATGTAATTGTTTGTAGATTAGAAAATTGATATATAGTTTATATTAAATGATCTTCAATAATATATATGAGATTATACAAAATCTATTTGAGTATTTTTTTCCAAGATCGAATCTGGTATGGATTCAGATTTTTCGGTTAGATTCGGTCCGGACCTCGGATTTAGTTTCCACCAAAAACCAAACCAGGTTTAGCTTTACTTCCGAGTTTGTGTTTGAATTTTAGGGCTCTTTATAAAAATCAGTGACACGACTTTTTAACCGGCGAAAAACTTAACGTCGGCAGCGGCGAGGAGCTAATAATCGAAATTTCGAAAGGAAAGAATCATGAAGTTGAAATCGGTGTTCGATGCTTCCGAAATCAAATCGGAATTCGAATCAGCGGGAATAAACCCTAATTTCATGATTCCAATCTGGAAATACGTGATTCAGAACCCCGATTGCGTCTGGGACGAGATCCCTTCGTTGCCCACCGCCGCATACACTCTCCTCCATTCAAAGTTCAAGACTTTAACTTCCTCTCTTCACTCTCTCTTCCACTCCTCCGATGGCACCACCTCTAAACTCCTCATCAAGCTCCAGGTACTCTCTCTCGTAGGGTTGCTTTATTATGACTCGTGATTTGGGTTTTGTTATCTGATTCTGTGGTTTTGGGATTTAAAGAATGGAGCTTTTGTGGAAGCTGTGATAATGCGGTATGATACAAGGTTAGGGTTGTGTGGAGGGAAGCCACGTCCTGGAGGTGTTAGGTCTACGTTATGCATTTCATCTCAGGTATTTGGTTGTTGCTGTCTTGTTTCGTTGTTGTATCACTGTAGAGTATCTGATGTTTAAGTATTTATCTATATAGGTTGGTTGCAAAATGGGTTGCACGTTCTGTGCAACTGGTAGTATGGGATTCAAAAGCAATTTAACATCTGGAGAGATTGTGGAGCAGCTTGTTCACGCCTCTCGCCTAGCTGATATACGCAACATCGTTTTCATGGTAATGCATCTCATACACTTGTTTTGATACACTTCAATGTGTATCTGTGTATAGACCCGATGTGAAGATGTCTTTCTGTAATTTAGATGAAGTTCATTCAACAGTTTGCTGCCTTGGTTTTGCTGATTGTGAATTTGTGAACAGGGAATGGGAGAGCCGTTAAATAACTACAATGCTGTTGTTGAAGCTGTCCGTGCCATGTTAAAACAGCCTTTTCAGCTCTCACCCAAAAGAATTACAATATCAACTGTAAGTACTAAGTACTGAGAAAACTACCGTCAAACATTCTTAAATATAGGGATAAGTATGTTCTCGTTTTGATATTCTTTCTTTTTATCCACTAACCCTTATGCTAATTTCGTTTGCATGTAGGTTGGAGTTGTTCATGCGATTAACAAGCTACACAATGATCTACCAGGTGTAAGTTTAGCGGTATCTCTTCATGCACCAGTTCAAGAAATTCGCTGTCAAATCATGCCAGCAGCTAGAGCCTTTCCTCTTCAAAAGCTTATGGATTCACTTGAAGCATTCCAGAAAAGCAGGTAGCTCCCAACCGGTTTTAAATGTGAAAAAACCAACATTCTTGAAATTGTTAATGATCACAACATCGTTCTTTTTGGATCTAACAGTAATCAAAAGATCTTCATTGAGTACATCATGCTTGATGGTGTAAATGATCAAGAGGAGAATGCTCATCAACTCGGCAAATTGCTAAAGACATTTGAAGTGGTAAAGTCTTTGATGTCTTACTAATCTAAAACTTTCTGAAATTATCTGATGGAAACTCTGTTGTTTTCTGACAAAACAGGTGATAAATTTGATACCATTCAACCCTATTGGTTCCACAAGCCAGTTCAATACCAGCACCAAACAAAGCGTCTCGACTTTCCAGAAAATCTTGAGGGAAACCTACAAAATCCGGACCACGGTTCGAAAAGAAATGGGTCAGGATATCAGTGGAGCTTGCGGTCAGCTAGTGGTGAACCAACCTGACAACAAGAGAGCTCCTGGAACTGTGGAACCACTTAGAGACATTGAAGATCTGCTTCTCTAACTTTAGGACCAGACTCATGTTTGTATTATCTTCAAAACCACTTTTCAAATCCCTTTTCTTGAACTTCACATTTTGTCCTATCATTACTCGGTGTTCACTCTTGTATGCAAGTAAAATAGAAGAAAAAAAATGTTTCTGGAAAAAGAAACAGAGCCCATAGATTCTGTTGAAGTTCTTATTTGTCAAAGTCAATACTTTAATGCTATCATCAATCGTGACTAAGCCTAAATGAAAAGTTGGTATATTACCACCAACAGGGTCAATACTTATCTATAGATTTGATCCAATAGTGGTCAATCCAATACAAAGACAAATTTGATTTATCTTCTTATGCCACATGGTATATATATTGGGTTGATGTTAGATAAATTTCATATAGAAAAAGAGAAGTTTTAAATGGAGGGGTTGATTCCATATCTGATTCATGTTATCAAGAAAGACCATAAGCCTCAAGGTCATGTGTATAGATCGATGTCTGTAGGATCTAGCCGAAGCTACAGACCATTAATGATGGGAGAGGAAGGTTCTTCTTCATTACAGGGATCTTCTCACCGTCGAACAAGATCAGAGTACATGCCACCTGTGATCATGGATATGTTTGATCAGACATCATCAAGTTTTGGTCAAGAGACTGTGACTAAAGATTCGCCTTCTCAGAATATAGCAACAAAGCTTCAGCGTGCAGATAGACGATGAGCTTCTGTAAGAAAGAAAAAAAGTTTATAAACCTGATCATTCTATATGTATACCCGTAATGAAATTGTAGTAAGTTTCAGATACCAGTCAATAATATTAATTTGTTTTTATTTATTTATGATATTAATGAATTGTATGAATCAAATACAACAGAAAAATCATTTGTTTTTGTTTGATAATTTATTGTATTCAACAAAAAGAATGACCAATATTTCAGCATCTATGTTCTGTAATGAAACTCTTTTGAAGGAATTACAGTAAAGACTTTACAGAGTATTGTCATATTGGATTTGCATGATAGATGTACAAAGATTCTTCCTAGGCATATGTGAAAACAAGTCTGAATTTGTGATTGTAGATGAAAACAGGAGATCTTAAGCTTGGGTGTAAAGCCATCTGATCTGAATAAGAGTGCCTTGTAGTTAGTGTCTTTGAGATTAAACAAACAGAGGTAAAAAGCATTTGACTTCATTCCTGTGATGATATGATATCTGACTCTGACGATTACAAACCAACTGAGGTAAAGGGACTCTGGCCACTCCTGTTAAAAAAAGGTGTTTGTGGTCCTCTTATATCAGCTATAGCTATTGATTGATCCAAAATCTCTATAATATTATTTGAAAAATATGTTTCTTACGTATTGTTATTACATTAATTTTTTATTATAGTTTATGACAGAGATATCCTTAATAATTTAAAAAATATATTACATTTAAATATTATTATTAAATTTTTAGTCTAATTTTTATACTTTTCAAATAACATATATAATAAGAATGACACATTAATAAATTTTAATTTAAGAGCAAAAATGTATGTATATAATACGATTTCATTAAAAACGAAAGTTCACAAAATAGTAAAACTCCCTTTAAAACATGTTTTTGAATAACATAAATATAATTTTGAAGTAATAAAAATACTTTTTTATATCTATGTTTCTTCTTAGATGAAAAAATATATTTGTATATAATGTGGTTTCATAAAAAAGGAAGTAAACAAATAGAAGCTTGATGTAGAAAAAAAAAATTTTCCTTCAAAAATAATTTAAATAATATAAACTATATATATTTCAAAAGTAACAGAAATATTTTTTTTATATCTAACTATTTTCGAAGATGATTACATACAAAAACTAAGTAACATAAACCATTGCATATTTAATTGACTAAAAGTATTTTATAAAGAGTATTATTATTGAAATGTTTATTTATTTTTGCATAATCTTTAGTTGACTATAAATATCTTACAATTACCACAAAAGGAAAAAATATATCTAGAAACTATATTTTACATATATATTAAGATTTCTCAAAAAAAGATATCAAATTTTCTTAGTGCTTATTTTTAAGAGATATTAAAAAGGAAACTAAAAATATTTTTCTTACAATTAGCATAACTGATTAAACAATTACAAATTCTTTTTAAATATCATACACTATAATTTTTTAATGAGGTAGAATTATAATATTTTATAATTATTAAAAAATAATATTTAGTTTGCTTTTAAATTTTATGTTTGTGGAACTTAATATACTCACAATCAAAATACTCACACAAATCCGAGTTCTCATTTTTAAGATTATTTAAAATAATTTCAGTTTACCTTTCAATAAATCTAAGGCACAAAATTGTTTAGAATTTATAACATATTTAAAATATTTAAAATATTAATATCCGTTCATGAGCTTCCAAAAAATATTTTAGTTGAATTCAGATAAGTAGATGCAATCCAAAATACACAAATAGTAACAAAATTGACTGTTGGTCTTGATCCAAAAAAAAAACAAACTGATATAACATATCCAAAGGGCCAAAATAATATGCCTAATTAAAAGAATATTCTTAATATTATTTATACATATAAATTATAATTTATTTAAATTAAAACTCAATGTCCTTCAAATATAAAAATTCATCTACTTTATAAATATTTTTATCCTGGTAGGAGCATGAGAAAATCAACTAGTATGCTTATATGAAAAAAAAAATTGGTTTTCGATCAAGAAATATCGTAGGATAGTCGTTGAAGAGTTTTTATCATAAATGTAACACACAAGAGTCCAAATGACTAAAAATATATTTCATTAAAGTGATAAAAAAATTATACTCACAATGTTAATTAATCCATACTTAATGTTTAATTTTTTGGGGTATGATTTTAAAGGTATATATAATTAAGATTTAAATTTTAAAATAATAGATTCAAAAATCTTATCAGTAAAAAATATTTTGATTTCAAAAAAATGTGATAAAGCAAAAAATCAGAAAAAAACAGAAAAAAATTTGAAAAAAATATATATATTCGAATTGAATAATCAATTTTTGAAAATATTGTTTAGGATATTTTGGGAGATTTGACCTTTCTGATTCTGAACTTCATTATCTAACAAAATTACACATTCCTTTCACCACAACTCATCACATCCACACATATGGATAAGAATCAAGGTTGGTTTGGCTGTTTTTTTTCTGCAGTTGATTGGTTGTGGTATTCTCTAGTGTAAAGATATTCTAACATCCAAAAGCCATATGGAGAGAGGTATTATCAAAAGTTTGACATTCTCAAGTGATTTGTGTAGAAAACACGCTGCCTACTTAATTGTTTCCTTGAAAGAGGGTTACAGGTTTGTCTCTTCCGTTAATTTGTTATCTTCTTAAAGAGATTATCCTTATAGTCTAGTTTATTGTATTCTTAAGATTGGGTCGGTTTAACGTAGCAAGCATTGATGCTGGAAACATTTTTTCAAGTAGCCGTTACCTACTTGACTGTTTTGTTTGTTTATTTTGTTTCAGATTTCAAGAAAAAGAATTTCAACATCACAAGATTCTTCTTAAGGGAAATCAGTGCTGCCATAGACAATTTTAGTGATGCAAGCACGACTAGTGAATGAGGTTTCGGTAAGGTGTATAAGAGAATGTTAACCTACGGCACTGCAATTGCTGAGAAGTCAAAGGAAGGGAGCGTACAACTTTTGAACGAGGTTAGTGTCAACTCAACGTTGAAACATCCTAATATGGTGAGATACTGAGATTTCATGGGTGTTGCGGGAAGAGCAATTGTACACTTCATCTAGATTCCACATAGGACCTCTATTTTAGGAAATGAGTATAATAAATAAAAAATCTTTTATAGTTGAATATCAAAACCTATTTAACTGAATATTCATTATATTTTTTAGGTACATCTTCTATGGCAGCATAACAAGTTTATAGAACTTGTTGATTCAAGGTTGCAAGCTTGAAGAAGAAACTCTTGTGATGGTGAAAGTTGGTATATTGTGCATAAGCCGTTTGCCTCTAGACAGACCATGCATGTCAAAAGCAGTGAAAATGCAATGATGTTTGCATAACTAATATAGCCGATGAAGTGGAAGCCGAACCTCCAAACCTAATGAAGATTATATCAAATATCGGAATGATCGTTACAAATATCGGCATGGAGATGTGGTAATAGAGTTTCGAAGAACAATTCAAAGAGTAGATTCTGAAATGAGTTTGTTGGGATGGAAATGGAAAGAAGAATAAAAGGATGTAACAATTTTGTCATGTTACTAAGATCAGTTTAGTGGCATACATTACCTTGGGTACATATATCGGTAGCTTTTGATGTTAGTGTAAACTATTGTGTGACATAGTTAATGCTTAGGATGCTCATGAGTAAGAGTTCAATAAAAGTAGTAGAGGTGGTGTTTTCGGTGCATAACAACGAGAATGTTACAAAATTTCTAGTGAAATCAACTAATAAAATCAAATGAGACAATTGGATTTCATAGAAAGTTATGGTTCATGTTTTTAAGATCATACATTGCCTTCCTGCCTGACTTATTTATTCATCAGAGGCAGAGCCGGCCCTGATCTAAAGCTGGGAAAGAACCCGCTTTAGGCGCCAAAATAGATTAAATATTTGTAGGCATCATGTTTACTTAAAGTTTCTTCAGTCTTAGTGGTTGTCTGCTGCCTAGATGAGTTAATGGTGTTCGGTTCGAAACCAAAGGGGCGTCAAATTTTGTTTTGCTTTAGGCAGTGGTATATACTGGGCCAAGCCTGATCAGAGGCAATAATTTAAGAAGACGTTAGGGATTCTTTGAAAAATATCTGCCATTCACCTGTTCTCTTACTTCTGTTTACGAAATCACTACATTGGAAATATGCTGAATCTTACTTGATACATAAGTAATTTTTTTTTTTTTTACTTTTCAACATTCACTCGAAAGTAGAAACATAAAGGAAGCATTGTAAATGTAACTAAGGGTTTTTCTGATTGAATAAAAACTAACATTCATTCAAAAAAAAAAACATAAAAGGTTCACCATTTGTTTTAAATTTCTTGACAAGTATAAAGCCCATATTTATTAGATTCATGAGAAAAAAGAAAGTAACGAAGGTTTATAATCCGTCAATCAGAAAAAGTTTGCACGTGCGTGCTAAGACGGCGCAGATAGAAAGAGCTTCCCGCAAAAAAGGAAAAACACGCACAACAAACAGATCAAAGGGCATAACGGTCAATTAGTATAACGACACTATTTCCTTTTTCCGTACTTTCCAAAAAACTAGCAAGTCTCTCGCTCTGTCACACTATAAAACAACAACGATCTCAAAGAGTGAGATTCACCTCTTCATTACCAATACCTTCGTAACTACAATCATCACTCTCTACGTTAAACTAGGGTTTTTTTTTTCATTTATCATGTCTGTAGTTGAGAACATTCCTCTGGAACCAAGGGCCAAAAGACAGAGCATCGAACCAAACGATCCTCTTTCGTATTCTAACAAAAGATGTGGTCACTGGTTCGTTCATCACGGAGTATGCACCGCTTGCGACTCATCCGTTGACGAAAGCCAAGGTCAAGCCTTCGATTATCTTTTGTACGGTTTACAGCTAAGCCACGAGGCTGTAGCTGTAACAAAGCACCTTACCACACTCGTCTCTTGTTCCAACAAGAAAAAACTTCACCTAGTCCTTGACTTGGACCACACGCTTCTCCACACCACTCATCTATTACGTCTCACCGAAGCAGAGAAGTATCTAATCGAAGAAGCCGGTTCAAATACAAGAGACGATCTATACAAGTGGCAGGCACAAGAATTCTTCACAAAGCTAAGACCTTTTGTTAGAGAATTCTTGGAAGAAGCTAACAAGTTGTTCACAATGTATGTTTACACAAAGGGTAGTCGCGGTTACGCTGAATACATCATGGAGATGATTGATCCGACGCGAATCTATTTCGGTGAAAGAGTGATAACAAACGACGAGTCCTTATATGAAGACGCTTGATTTGGTTTTGGCGGACGAGCGAGGAGTGGTGATTGTTGATGATACACGTGATGTGTGGCCTGATCACAAGAGTAACTTAGTTGGAATCAGCAGATACTACTATTTCAGGTCGAGGAAGAGCACACATGCAAAGCCATACTCTGAGGAGAAGACAGACGAAAGTGAAAACGACGGTGGATTGGCCATTGTTTTGAAGATATTCAAAGAAGTTCATTGTGGATTCTTCAATGTCGTTGAGGAAAAAGAGTTGGAGTTTAAAGACGTGAGGTTGTTACTACAGGAGATAGAATTCAACCATGCCGACAAAGAATCATTTAATTCTGTAGAAACTTTATAAAAGCATCTGTGTAAGTCTGGTTCATATGTAAGAAGTGTATATTTGCACAAGTTATTTTGATTAATATCATTTAAAGCATATTTCATGATGCATTTTACTATATTTCTTTGGCATTAATCTAATAGATTCTCTTAGGTAATAATAATAGGTCATCATAGCCAAATGAACTACAAAGCATTGTATTAAGTATATACTTCTACTTTAATACACTCAAAACAATAACAAAAGAGATTAAAAGCTCCGACATACTTATGAATCGATTCAGAATCTATGGGACATTAGGTAACTAAAGACAAAGACCAACTTGTGTTGAGGATGCTTCTGTTTCTTCCCTACTATGCCGCAGGATTTGGATATGCTTTGGGTTTAGGTTTTACTTCGATTTCATTGACGTTTCTTACAAAGATGGCTTCTGGCTCGTGCCTGAACAACATCACAAACACACAAACCCAGTTAAAGAGAGTTCATATAATAACGTTTTTTTTTTCTATATGAGAAATGCTACGTTATTTCTCTATAAATATTTAGTCAAAAGAGTGCCCCGCTATGCCTAAACTTCAGAGAAGGAAGATGATACTTACGATTTCTCCCCCTCTTCAAAGGTGTAACTTGAAGCAACAGCTAGTAGCTGACCATCTCGACTGAATGACAGTGCTGCGACGCTTGATGGATAATTTGAATACTGCAAATGAAACAAGGATCAAACAACAATACATTTCTGTGTCCCTAGAGAACATTCGCAGAAAATGGAGAGCAAATAGATCTTAAGTCATTTGCTAAACCTGATACAGCCTCTTCTTGTTGTTCCCATCCCAAATATTCACGAAACCATCACAGCCTCCCGTTGCAAAGGTGCCATAACTACAATTAAAAATTCCAGATGATTACTCGAGCAGTGTAGCTACCATATGTTCACATTAACTCTCAAACCAAGCATAAGTAAAACTTTGTCTAGTTGAATCTATGATATTGACTCAAAACCAAAGTAGTACAGAAACTTCTTACAAACCTAGCATATAAGCATCCAAGCAACTTCAAATTAGCCTTTCAACTTACTCTAAAGAGTTTTACCTCCTCCTTCTCATGTTCTATAAGCAAGTAGTAAATCTAGAAAGCTAAGAAACAGTTTGACTTCAGTTGAGATAGGAACTCACATTGGATGGAAAGCAATGGCATTTACAGGGTATACAATGTCTCTTCCAGCCTCTGATTTCCGATGACATTTGAAAGCATATCTGAGAACAAATTTATATATATTTGTAAGTCAAAGTAGTGGAAAAGAGACAAGAAGAATCAAAAACACGAGGAAAAATACTTCTTAGCCTGAGCAGCCTCTGACAGATCAAAGAACTCCATCGCAACCCTTCCTTCAACAGAGCTAAGAGCATAGCCTGTAAATTTTCAATATCAAAAGATTCAATACGGAGGTAAGAGGTATTAAAAGTGCCAGCAACCACAGAAAGTCAGTCATGCTGAGACATATAACCTGTTCCATTAGGATAACTACGAACACATCTCGTCTGGTATTTCAGTGAAGACTCCCTTCTTTGCTCAGGCTGAGACATATTCCTGAGATCGTAGATGTTGACATGCCTTCCTGCTGTTGCGACAACGAGACGGTTTCCAACAAGAGACAGAGAGTAGACACGCTCTGGTTGCACGTATGTTCCCACCTGAGTCCGTTCAGGGCCACTTGCACCTCTTGGATCCCAACACTTGACTGTTTTATCCCAAGATCCAGTGATCACTTGCCCTGTATCATCACACAAGAAGAAGCAAAACATATCATCCCACAAGAAGAAGAAAAACATAATATGTCAGCATTTCTTTGAACGTTTGAACTAAAATGCTGAAATAAAATAAACAGGACTTTCAGATAAGTAACTTCACAAAATAAATTGTTAGTTTAAAAACAAGAGTTCACTGTCCATAGTAATTGCTTAAATAAAGAGTTTTCTAGACATGAAAAGCATCAGAAATGGTCAATGTGACTGTTCAACTATGATAAAACATTTCAAGTAAGTATCATCAGCGTAATATTAACAGAAACTGCTTAACTATGATGAGTTTTATAGACACAAAAAGCACCAGAAATAGTCACAAAGTGATCACTGTTACAAACTACAATCTTTAACACACATAGTGATCATATGTCACTGTTTCAAAACTAGCACAGAGCATAGTGATTTAACATACCAGCAGCATAAGAATACTCAACGCACCGCACAGGCTTCTCATGCGTCCCCAACACATCCTCTTTCCCAACATTGAAAACAATCCTGAAACCATATTTAACCAAAACACGCAAAAACTTTCTTTTATGTTTCTTCTTCTTCAAAAAAGTTGAGATTAAATAACCAAATAAAATCCAAAGCGGTTTCTAAATACCGTCTGACTTTGTTATCACTGCCAACACTGAAACCGGATGAATCGTCGTGGAAACAGCAATCGAGCACCGCGCCGCCGTGTATGAACTCTCCTTTCAACGAATTGGTGCTCACATCATACAATCTCACACGCTTACATAATAACAAGAAACGATTCAGATGAATGAAAAGGAATTCGATCAAGTGAAGTTAGAGAAGAGGTTATAACCTTATCCCATGACGAGACGAGGAGATGGTCACTTGTATTGGAGAATCTGAGATTCGATATGCCGTCGGAAGGTGGATTCGCGAGCTCGCGGCCGGCGGAGGGAGGAGGTTGACTCATTTTTCCCTTCCCGTTGAAGATCACAAATTTCTAGGGTTCGGTTAGGGAGAGAGCGAGAGGGGTTTTGAGTTTTTGAAATTAAAGTAACCAAATCTCGATAAGATCTATTTCAACTTTATGAATAAAAAGAAAAGAAAAATCAGATTAATTTTGTTTGAATTTCAAAACTGTAAGCGAAATGGTGGATAGTTTTAGTTCGATACTAGACTGTACAAGTAATTTGGATTGTCTTTGCTTGTTGACTTTATTTAAATTAGGATTTTTTTGTCAAGATATATTAGATGATCTAAAATACCCAAATCTAAAAATAAGAGAGAATATAGTTTTTTTTCATGCAAAAAAAGCCAAAAACAATTTTTATAACAAATTTGAAATTTGGAATAGAAATGCAATTAAAATTGAAAACTAAATTAAAATTATAATTATATAGTTAAAGATGTCAAATGGGCAAATTGTGACCACATGAACATGTTTTTTTTCTTTAACACTGAATCGAGAATGTCATGGGATACAAGATAGACTCAAAAAAGAAAAAAAGACAAAGACAAAAGATGCCAGTAGACACCATAGACAATATCAATCAAACTCACCCAACTTACTAAAATGCCGAGACATCCAAACAAAGACGGTGGAAAGAGACAAACCAAGTAAACTCAGCAGCGGTAGTGAAGCAATTGGTNCAGTAGACACCATAGACAATATCAATCAAACTCACCCAACTTACTAAAATGCCGAGACATCCAAACAAAGACGGTGGAAAGAGACAAACCAAGTAAACTCAGCAGCGGTAGTGAAGCAATTGGTTCAAGCACCCTGAATCATGACCCTTTCTTGCTGAGCTTCTAGCGAGAGTAAGTGGTGTAGCCAAACTGGAGCATGACGAGCAATGTACGACTGAAGACGAAGATCTCGCGTGACACTAATGGCAATGGCAGCGGCAGCTTCATTACGTTCGGGAAGAACATGGTCCAAGCTCCAGGAAGAAACACTTGCCAGCAGGTAAGTGATACTATGTCGTATATGGCTGAAGCTCTGGTGCTCGTCCTGGCTCATGAGGGCATCTCGTTGACTCTCCGAAGCCGTTTCAAAAATAATATCTGAAAAGTGAAGATTGTGTAAACATTCCACCGCCCAAAAGAGAGCCCACAAATCAGCCTCTATTTTTGTGCGCATGCACGAATACGCGCGGCGACTATGCATGATTGTACGCCCAGTAGCATCACGTAAAATCCAAGAAGCACCACTAGGATGATTTGAATTTATCCAAGAAGAACCAACATTACATTTGAGGAAACCACTGGGTGGTTTCTTCCATTCTATCAAATTGGTATCCACTTTTTCCACTACATCCTTCGGACCTGTGAATGTATCACACCATGTGGATTCCTCTTCATAAGCTTTTTTTGCAGTATAAGAGGCATCAACCACCTTGTTTTCGAAGACAAAAGTATTTCTAGCCTTCCATATTCTCCATATCAGCCATGGAAAAACTTTTCTTGTGTGGATGTCGGTCGACTGGGTCCTAGAAATCTTGATCAGATGCACAAAGTTTAAAAAGGTGGAATCCCGAGAAAAACCTCCTATAGGGACCGGAAAATTAGAAAGCTCCCATGTGGTTCGCGCTTTAGCACAGGTAAAAAGCGCATGACATATATTCTCTACACCATTACCACAAATAGAACATGTTGGATCAATAGGAATACCACGAGTATTCAAACGTTGCTTCACCGCTAAAGCACCGGATAGAGCACGCCACATAAAATGCTTAATTTTTGGCGGTGCCTTGATTTTCCATAGGTCTCTCCACAATTGTTTCTCAATAGGGGCGAGGGAGTTACCATGAGGTTGTTCATAGTCCACTAAGTTCTCCAGCAACTTATACCCACTACGCGTTGAATACATTCCAGTAGATGTGAAACCCCACATGATCGAATCAACCCGTCCCAATGATGGTTTCAAGAGTAAAATTCTTTTAACATCTTCAGGTGAAAAGGTCTGATGTAACAGATCAATGTTCCATTGGTTAGACCCCTGCAGAAGTAGGTCAGCAACTTTTAAAGCTAAATTTGGATGACTATTCTCTCTATACATAGGCGGTCGAGGTACCGTTTCAATAATCCAATTCGAGGCCCAAACATTTGAATCATTCCCATTGCCAATATGACGAACCAAGCCCTTTTTAAGAAGTTCTCTTCCATGCATAATGCTCCTCCATGCATATGATGGGCGTGTTCCCATACCACATTCAAGAAAATTACCAGTTTTAAAATATTTCCCTTTAAGGATTCTTGAAACTAGCGAGTCAGGGTTATTCCAAATACGCCAAGCTTGTTTACCCAGCAAGGCCTGATTGAACCGACCAATGTCATGGAAACCAAGACCCCC